AAAGCCAGAAGGGAGACCCTCAGAGGGGAGGAAAGGAGGCGGCCTCAGCGAGGCGGCTGGGAGAGGAGCCTGGAAGATGGGACGATCTTCGCTCCTCAGCCGGCTGCCAAGTTTCCCTGTAACCTAACTCAGCTCCGGCCGGCTCCTCCGGGGCCTGGGCCGCTGCTGGAGGCCGAGACCATGGCTGATTGTTTTGTTTGGCTGACAGGGTGTTTTACAAACATGGGCCAACTTTCTTCAAGTGGAAACATTCACATAGAAATTCAGACTTTTAGCTCTTTGGAAAAAACAAAACACACAAACAAGCACTGGCCTGGAAGGAAGGCCCCTGTGAAGGGGGTGGGCTGAAGCCGCTCTGAGTCAGTGCACAGAGGCCCCCCACCCCCAGGGCCCCTCTGTTCCTCATGCTCATTAAGGTGCTGCTTCCGGCTGCCCCTGAGCTGGGGGCCAAGTCCCACCCATCACACCCCCTTGACTGGTTCTGGTTCTGCTTCTGACACGGTTCCTCATGACTGGTTGGGGACCTACCAGTCTAAGGGGCTAGACCTGGGCAGCCAGTATGACCTTGAATTCTGACCTGAATTTTACTTTATTTTTAATATACTTTTATTGATTTCAGAGAGGAAGGGAGAAGGGGATAGAAACAGCAATAATGAGAGTCATATCTATCCCCCTGCATGCCCCATACTGGGGATCCAGCCTGCAACCGGGGCATGTGCCCTGACCTGGAATCGAACCCGGGACCGTTCAGTCCGCAGGCCGCGGACGCTCTATCCACTGAGCCACACCACCCAGGGCTCGGCCCTGAATCTCAGGTGAATCAGCCGAGAGGAAGGAGAAATGAATTTGAAATGCGGAGCCAGCTGCCCGCCGGGGTTCCCCCTGTTCCATTTCCTTCATAGTCACTAGGAGCGAGCGAGCGAGCGAGGGGGAGCGAGGGGTTTGAACCCCACAGCACAGTCCTCACAAAGGAATTCAGCTGCACGAGACAGGCACGCCCTGTGGGGCTTATGATAATGGGCTCAAATTCCATTTCAATTTGTTGAAAAGTCACATTCAATCTCATATTTCTCCCCCCCCCGCAACCCCAGGGGCCTCC